AGACACAACTTGTGAGAGCAATAGGGCGAAAGTCCTTAGGGGAAGTACCCAGAGACCCCGGTTTGCGAACAGGGAGGACAACGGCATCGAGCCAGTCCTCAGGGACTGACGACGACTCCCAGATCCGATTATACAGACTCAGTAAATACTGAGACGTGCTCGGAGGGAGATGGCGAAGCATCTCATAATGAATACCATCGGAGCCCGCCGCCGTAGAACCGCAGAGGGCCAGGGCAGAACGAAGTTCAGAGAGAGAGAAGGGATCATTATAGGGAAGCTGAAGATGAGTGCAGAAATCTAAAGGACGAGACTCAAGGACAGGTTTACGAAGAAGGAAAGATTGGGGAAGATGAAGACCAGAGCTAACAGAAGAAAAGTGGGAACCCAGTTCGGAAGCGACCTGCAACGGGTCCGCCACAAGAGTATCATGGAGGTGAAGGACCGGTGAAACATCGGGAACGAACTTACCCGCTATCTTGCGGATACGCTTCCAGATCTGGGCCAGAGGGGTTTCGGACGTAATTGTCGAGACATAAGATGCCCAACATTCACGTTTAGCCGTACGGATGGCCCTACGGGCCACCGCACTCGCTTTCCGAAAGAAAAGAAAAGAATCGGTCGTCTGCCTACGGCGGTGCTTCTTCCAGGCTGCACGCTTACAGCGGACAGCCCGAGCACAGTCCGCATTCCACCAGGGAACGCACTTCCGTGGACCCCGAGAGGAAGAGCGAGGAATAGAGCGGAGGGCAGCGTCGAAGACAGTGTCATGAAAAAGGAGGAGAGCGCGAGAGAGGGGCAGAAGGGAGAGGTCAGAGAGAGTAGCACTGAGGGAAAATAGGGTCCAGTCCGCCTTAGCAAACTGCCACCTAGGGAAAGAGAGGGAAGGGCGAAAAGAGAAAAAGGAAACAAGGATGGGGAAATGATCACTTCCATGGAGGTCATCAAGAACCTGCCACGTGAAATCTAAGTAAAGAGAAGAAGAGCAGAGAGAAAGATCAAGACAAGAAAGGGTGCGAGTTCGAGAGTCCAAATGAGTGGGCTCACCAGAATTCAGAAGAGACAGGGAAGAAGAGAGGAGAAACGGCTCAAGGAGGCGACCCCGGGTATTCGTCAGAACGTCACCCCAAAGAGAATGACGACAATTGAAGTCACCCAGCAGGAGCACAGGCTCCGGCAAGGAGTCTAGGAGGTGTTTCAAATCAGGAAGAGAGAGCGGGACACTCGGGGGGAGATAAATGGAACAAACTGTGTACCATTTCCCCACAAAGATACGAGCAGCAGAACAATGGAGAGGCGAAGGAAAAAGTAAAGGAACAAAGGGAACATCAGCCCGAATCAAGAGAGCAGAAGAATTAGAAGCCCCAGCAATGGCTGGGGGGGGGGGAGAGAAAGGAATAGCCACGAAAACGACCAGGACGAGCACCAAGCATCGGCTCCTGGAGACAGACACAAAGGGGCGAAAACCGCGAAACCAGAAGTTGGAGTTCGAGGAAATTGGCGTAATAACCTCGAACGTTCCATTGAAGAATGGACAACGACGAGAAGAGAAAGGACAAAAACAGAGAACAAGGAAGAAACAAAGGCGAAAGACCAACAGAGCACGTTAAAGAATATCAGGGTCGGGATCAGGGTCAGCAAAGTCAGGGTTAGGGGGCATGGGTAAACTGAGCAAAGACGGAGGGAAGGAAACGGGAGAACAGATCAGAGGTGGGCGGGCAGGGTCCGGAGGAGGAGGAGGAGGAGGAGGAGGAGGAGGAGGAGGAGGAGGAGGAGACAATGGAGAGGAGCAGTCAAGGACAGCAGCAGGAAGAGGGGGAGTAGAAAGAGAGGAGCGCACCCCAGCAAGAGCAGCAACCGAAAGGGAAGTAGGGGCCAAAGAAACCTCCATAGCAGGAACAGGGGGCGCAAGCACTGAAACGGGAGGGGAAGGAGCAACAGAGCCAGAAGGAGGAGCTGAGGAAGAAAGCGAAGCCTTCTTACCCGCCGGGGAAGAGGAAGGAGAGGAGCCAGGCTTACGCTTCTGACTTAAAGAGACCGGTGTCCCAGCAACTACGTACCGGGCAACGGATTCCAGTGTCTCAACAGGAGAAGCCGAACGAGAGCACACACGACGGCCGTTAGGAGAGCGATGGACATCCGCCTGCACCGACAGGCGGCGGGGAGAGCCGATAGATGGAGGAAGAGGATGGGAAGGAGGATCGGAGGGGGACGAGGAAGGAGACACAGAAGACACGACAGACCGGGTAGAAGGAAGGGGAACCCCAGACAGAGGACCAGGAGGAGGATCCTTCGGGAGAGAACCCAAAGGGACAGAGGAGGGGGCAGTGGGCGCATCAGGGTCCAAGGCCTGGAAACGGTTGTGAGTCTGAGGAAGGCGGGAAGGACGAGGAGAGGAAGAGCGCAACACGCGAGCATAAGAGATATTAGCATAAGGCGGGAGCCGGCGAACCTGGCGCCTCGCCTCAGGAAAAGATAAACGCTCCCGGTGCTTCAAGTTGAGGACGGCTGCCTCAAGCTTGTAATGGACACACGCACGGGAGAAGGTAGGATGGGCCTCACCGCAGTTGAGGCAACGAGCCTGGGGAGAAGCGCACCCCGACTTAGAGTGACCTTCGCCACCACACAAAGGACAGAGAGAGACAGTCCCGGAGCAGCGGAGGGCACCATGCCCAAACCTCCAGCACTTGTTGCAGAGCCGAGGAGAAGGAATGTACTCCTGGACAGAGCACCTGGCACCAGCAAGAATGACAGAGGGTGGAAGGGTCCTACCATCAAAGGTAATCTTCACAACCCGGAGGGGTTGACGGCGACCACCACGAGGGGGACGAGTAAACGTGTCCACCTGGAGAATAGAATGGCCCTGGGCAGCGAGGATATGTCGAATATCGTCGTGGCAGTCGCGTAGGTCCCGAACACCGGTCGCAACATGGGGCGGGAGCAAAATAGTGCCAACACTGGCATTCAACTGAACGTTCTTCGAGACCCGAACGGGGGTCTCGCCAAGGCAGGATAAGGCAGCCAAGCGGGAAGCAGCATCCTGAGAAGGAGCAGCAACGACACGTGTACCGAGACGAGTGGGGTTGAAAGTAATGGAGGCATCCACGGAATCAATGAGATGTCGATGGAGGGAGAAATCGTCAGGAGGCGCAGAATCAAGAGGGAGGAGATCAAAATATTTGGCCCACGAAGCGGGACCAAACAAGGCTTGATAGGTAGCAGAACTGGAAGGAATCGAGCGAGGGCGGCCGTGACGAAGACGGCGGTGAGAACCCCCAGAGAGAGAGGGGTTAAAAGGCGCAGTAGTTACAACTAGAGAAGGAGCCACGCCAGGGGACGAGGTAGTCACCACTGGGGGCTTGGGGCTCGACCCAACCACAGAGGAGGGAGGGGAGCCAGAGGAAGGAGTCAGAGAGGCCAAAGGAGGAGCAAGGTCGGGGCCCAATGCAGCGGAGGCTACAGAGCCCGGTCTTCCAATACGGACCGACTCGGGGGCTTGGTCGCCCACCCCACGAGCCTGAGAAGGTAAACCAGAAGAAGCCGAAGCAGGGGTAATCATCTTGACGAAAGAAAGAATTCACTCACGAATGTGCCCCCACACCCACCATGGAGCCACAATTAGAGGCAGGACACCCAACAAGAAGCCATCGCCGATCTTGTCGGGGCCTCCTAGGGGTGCGTCGCGAGTATACGCCCCACAAACGCCACCTTAAGAAACCGACAGTCCGTCGAGATCGGGTTCAGTGACGAAGTGGGGATTGACAATAAAAGGTTCCCCTCGCTCTCGACGTCGGGTACTGCAGTTCTACGGGTGCATGAGTATGCCTCCTCAAGCACCCGGGCGTCAAAATAGAAGAAGTCCAAGGGAAGAACCAGAACGAGCAAAAGGTCGGTAGGAAACGGCAAGCAGATAGGAGAAGAGGGGGGAGAAAAACGAAACAGAAGGAAAAGGAAAAGATGCTCAGCAGAAGTGGAGAGGACGGCAGCAGGAGCACAAGGCTAGAAAAGGACAGAGGACCGCCCCAAGGAGCATCACACTCCGGCAGCCGCCCACTAAGCCCCCACACGGCGACAACGAGCTGAGCGGGGAGGGGGATAATGCATACAAGCGAAAAGTGACATACAGTAATTTGTAAGAGGACAGGTTGGTACAGTACCCATATTTCAAGAATACACCAATAAACTAAAAAAGATGCAAAGACTTAGTACAAAATGGCTTCTGGAACTGAAAAACAAGATCTACAAGGATAGGACAGAGAGGGTAAAGATGTTAAATATCCCAAAGCTAGAAGGTAGAAGAAAAAGAGGAAATATAATCATTACATTAAAAATAGTATCAAGAATCGATATCAAGAATAGTATCAAGAATTGACAAAGAAGAGTTCTTGGAACCAGCATCTTCAAGAACAAAAGGTCATAGACTCGTGCTAAGGTAACAAAGGTGCAGAAAAAAACATTAGAAAGTTCACTTTTACAAACAGTGGTAGATGACGGAATCAGGTTAAGTGAGAATGCAATGGTTGCTAAAACTGTTAGTAGTTTCACATCATCACATGACAGAATACCGGGAAAATGGGACACCACGAGCATAGCTCTCATCCTGGCACTACACTTGGATAATTACTAAGCAAGGATTTCATTGCACAACACACATGCACACATTTTAACGTGTGCACTACCGGGCCATATTTGCCCATCTTGAGAACCACTGTTTTACATTAAATACAGTATATAGGCTTATGCTCTGTTCTGTAACTTTAAAGATTTTTTTATTTATATTATTAATTTTTACTAAAATTTTAAACAATTAGCTAATTAACTTGGGGAAAAACCTAGAAGTTACATGGAGGGAAATTCAAAGCTTCCCCAATCAAATCTTTAACTTAAAGATTACATGAAGATTCTGTACATAGTTATAAAACATTTAAACAAATGAATTTTAACAAAACATTACTAAAATACCAATATAGGATAGAGGCACACTCTTTTGTAAATGCAAGAGGTATTTTTATATATTTTAATAAGAGTTACAGAAGGGAGTTAGACAGTAGTTAAATATATATTTTCTTCTACTGTTTCTGCTAAGAAAAATTATAGAATTATAGTTGAGTGAAGCATACTTAGCTACTCAAGAGTTACCTTTAATATAAATATAAATCGTTATTATAAATATGAACTCTCTAATATTTTCATAAATCTATTGGGAAAATTAAGCCTAATTTTGCATTAAAAATATTTGCATTCTTTTATCCATCTGGTCTTTCAAAGTTCAATTTTTTATACTAAACAACAGTTATGCCAGTTAAAGCATTATTATTATTATTACTGTATTATATTTTGAAATTCAGATGGCTGTACTGTTTACATAAAGTGAACATACATTTTTTGCCATACTGTAATATATACAGTATTTACATTCATACAATACAATTACCCTTTGAGAAATTGCAGGAAAATATACACCATTAAAAGGAAAAGTGTATATATGAACACACTTTTCAGAAATTATTTTAACAGTAACACTATACAGCATGTAAACAGATTTTATACACTTTATGAAACATCACTCTTAATAAGTCTTGAGTCAGTGTCAGGATGCTGAAGGCCCCTACAGAGCCTGCATAATCTCACTCTAAAGCTGAGGAATGATACACCCTTCACCCTATTTAAAATAATGCAAACATTGAACAAACTTACTACAATACCGTAGTGTCTGAATAAGGTAAAGAAATATGCGGAACATGTGTAAGTGTATTACCAAATTTTCGGATGAAACCTACATCCTTTATCAAGGTGGTGTAAACAATGTTCTGAACAACATTCTAAGTGCATGGATTTAAATGTCAGGCAGAATGCCTCATGTGGCATCCATTATTAAATGTTATGATTAAGCTTCCCAGGGATGCTGAAACTTACCCACTCTGAATGCCACAAGGTCTGTGCTTATAACCGTAAAATTATTCTTAACGAAGCTATATTAAAAATAATTTGATGGTTATTTGGATCTACATTCAATCCGTCCTCTTAAAAATAATGTTGCTTTTCGCTCGCACGCGTTCTATGGCCAAAAACGGACGTAATTTGAAATTAAATCGGCTCACGAAAGTGACGTACTGGTCTGTTTTCTGTTTGCGTTATGTGGCTTACTCGGTAAGGCTAGGAAAGTAAACATTCAATTAACGTTTTTCCATGACGTTTCGAAACTTTAGGAGAATTTCCTTTCCTCCTAACCTACCAGAGGACCCTTAACTTTTTTTTTTTCCAAAACAGTATTTTTAATTTTGTTTCATTTTCAAATTATGTCCATTTTTGGCCATAAGTACGGGCAAACGGCCAAATTCAAACGTAATTTGTAAGAGGACAGGTTGCTACATTATCAAAAGATTTGTTGCGCTTTACTGTCTATAAGAATCTGTAAATACCCCTTCTATTAGGCATCTCTGATATTTTAGCAGGTATATACAATTCTATAATTGCTGTATTAAAATACACCCTATGATTGAAATCCCAACAGTGGTTAGCAATGACTATTTCTATCAAGTTTTGTTACAACTATTTTTGTGTTCAACTTTTTTTTTAATAATGCACTATTAGTCTCTCCAACATATGACAAATTGCAATTGTTGCAATTTATCACAAACACCATTACCTATATTGTTTTTATTATTATTACCATTATCAACATTACCATTGTTACTTCTACCCATTTCCATTACTACCGTCATTAGTACCACTCCTGCTATTACACAGAGAAATCACACCAATGTTATGTATTATTGAGAAAATCTGTAGGAGCCGTGATAAGGATTCAAACCTGTGCACTGGGCACAGATAAATTGCAACAATTGCAATTTATCACATGGAGAGACTGGCCGTGGGTTATTGATAAAGTCGAAAAAAAAAAATGCAGCAGCAAAATTTGATAGGAAAAAATGATGTAGCTAAGCATTGTTGGGATTTCAATTAGAGGATGGATTTTAATAATAGAACTTTATATAACTGCTCAAATATCAAAGAGAGACACCTAATAGAAGGGATAATTATAAATTCTATTGGTAGTAAAGGGGATCAAATATATTAGTAAAGTAGATCCAATTAACCATACAATTATTCTTAATGAGATTAGTTAATTTAGCTTCATTAATTCATACAAGCACAGCCCGTGTGTTGTTCAGAGTGGGGATAATGTTCCCGTGATACCCTGTCTCCAGAAACCAGGACTTTTGGGAAAATCCCTGGGGAGCACAATCATAATGACATCTAGTGATGGACAGCCCATGAGGAGCTCTGCCAGACATATAAACTCATGCACTTAGAATCTTGTTGAGAACATTGGTTATGCCATAAAAGATGTAGGTTTCATCCAAAAATATGGTAACACACATCTATTGGATCTTTTCTTCAAACATAATTATTTCAATTTACACATGTGGTGCATTGCAAACTTTTCAATGTACCTAACACTTGGCCAGTGGTTTCCATGTAGTACAACCCACAAAAATCCAAAAAAATAGCCCATAAACACTTATATACAGTACAGTATATATTTCCATTCTAAAAATAGTACACCTGTATACTTATTACCCGACAAGCTTGCCACACATTTCCTTGTGTCCATGGTTATTAATGAAATGAAATGCCATTTTCTTGTAGTTCTATGTAACCAATTGCATGTCCACCTAGGCCCTAAAGAGATGCACCAGGCTCCCTAGACCCACCCTTGCCTAAAGGTAGAAACACCTGTAGTGTGTGTAGTGAAGCCCTACTTTGTAGTGTAGTGAAACATCTAGTTCTTTTTACCAGTAGACAAAGGTGGGTCTTGGGGACATAGTGCATATCCTGTCAATCCTTAGAGATGCACCTAGTTACCGGGAATACTGCAGGCTCCTCCTTCTCCCACCCCCCCCAATTCTCCCAAAAAATTAACTATAAACTTTTTTTTCTCAAAAAAAGTAAAGAAAAATCTCCCCCCAACATGACAATCTCAGCTTTTCTTGTTATTATAAAACTAATAAATACTTGTCTGGAAAAATACCAATTTATATAGCCAATACTTTCAGAAAAATAAGGTACTGTACCATTAAAAAGTTATACTTGTACAGGGTACCAAAATGTTTTAAAACTTAGTGACAACTCTGGCCTTTAAGCTTGGTAATGAATTATCTGTCCCGAATCACCTTGTTAGTCCCATATAATACACTGCTGATAATATACTTGGTTAAAAATTTCTATAGGCAGTGCATCAATAGGTGGGTTTGTGTGGTACAGTGTTCTTGGGAGCTGGCTGCCACCACCACAGGGCATTGTATGCTTTGACACTTTCTACTTCTGAACTGGTGAACTTGAGAATAATAGATATTGCATTGAGCATCAGTTGGCGGGACTCTGCATCTGAGCTCATCATATACTGCAAGACAACATTTTTCAAGTACTCCAAGTTCTCACCCTCTCTGGAAACATTTCTGCGATGTCTGGAAAAAATGGCATTAAAATATAAAGTAGCAATAAAGTGTGTGCAAAGTTAAGCATATTTAAAATGCATTTTTATTCAACTCTAAGTTATGAATAATGACATCAGAACAAAAGTTCTTGAAATTCTAAAATATTCTCAGCCTTTCCTTTTAAAATGAGATCCAACTGTAATAGTACATTTAACTAGTGTTTGGCAGAGCTGTTATGTGGGTCCACAATACACTGTAAGAAGTGTGTCTGACAGAGTGGTTGCACGAGGCCGCACTCTGCTGTGACAGGTGTCGGCAGGAATGTTGTGAAAGTCCATAATGAATAGGTTACATAATACCCTTAATGGTGAATAAGAGAAATAGGGTGCAGTATATCAATTTAAAAACTTACAATGTTATTTAAGATCGACTCTCACCTCTCAACTTTCTCCTCTAGTGCTTCAATAGCATCTTGGTGAGCTTGTTGCCTGACAAGTGCTGCCATCTGCACTTCTCTCATAGTTGTCTCCAGCTGTCGCTTTTCTCGTCGCAACTGAGATATTTCTTGGTGTTTACGTGCTAGTTCTTCCAGGTGATGCAGGAGAGGACCTTCACTCCCACCACTGACCTGGGATAACAGAGCTGCTGTTGCTTCAAGGCTCCCAACACCATTCTGAAACACACGTCACAACTATAGCTATGCACCTTATTCAAAAATACTTGTAAAGATATTTTATTTGTACATTACAGGTGAACATGGGAAAGGAGGGGGGGGGGGAAAAGGAGGAGGAGGGGGGGGGAAAGGAGGAGGAGGAGGGGGGGAAAGGAGGAGGAGGGGGGGGGAAAGGAGGAGGAGGGGGGGGAAAGGAGGAGGAGGAGGAGGAGGAGGGGGGGAAGGAGGAGGAGGGGGGGGGGGGGGGAAGGAGGAGGAGGGGGGGAAAGGAGGAGGAGGGGGGGGGGGGGGGAAGGAGGAGGAGGAGGAGTAGGGGGGGGGAAAGGAGGAGGAGGAGGAGGAGGAGGGGGGGGAAAGGAGGAGGAGGAGGGGAAAGGAGGAGGAGGAGGAGGGGAAAGGAGGAGGAGGGGGGGGGGGGGAAAGGAGGAGGAGGAGGAGGGGGTGGAAAGGAGGAGGAGGAGGGGGGGAAAGGAGGAGGAGGAGGAGGGGGTGGAAAGGAGGAGGAGGAGGGGGGTGGAAAGGAGGAGGAGGAGGGGGTGGAAAGGAGGAGGAGGGGGGGGGGAAAGGAGGAGGGGGGGGGGGGGGAAAGGAGGAGGAGGGGGGGGGGGGAAAGGAAAGGAGAAGGAGGGGGGGGGGGGGAAAGGAGAAGGAGGGGGGGAAAGGAGGAGGGGGGGGGGGGGAAAGGAGAAGGAGGGGGGGGGGGGGGGGGAAAGGAGAAGGAGGGGGGGGGGGAAAGGAGAAGGAGGGGGGGGGAAAGGAGGAGGGGGGGGGAGGAGAAGGAGGGGGGGGGGAAGGAGAAGGGGGGGGGGGGGGGGAAAGGAGAAGGAGGGGGGGGGAAAGGAGGAGGGGGGGGGGGGGGGAGGAGAAGGAGGGGGGGGGGAAGGAGAAGGAGGAAGGAGGGGGGGGGGGGGGGGAAAGGAGAAGGGGGGGGGGGGGGGAAAGGAGAAGGAGGGGGGGGGGAAAGGAGGAGGGGGGGGGAGGAGAAGGAGGGGGGGGGGGAAGGAGAAGGAGGGGGGGGGGGGAAAGGAGAAGGAGGGGGGGGGAAAGGAGAAGGAGGGGGGGGGGAAAGGAGAAGGGGGGGGGGGGGAAAGGAGAAGGAGGGGGGGGGGGGGAAAGGAGAAGGAGGGGGGGGGGGAAAGGAGAAGGAGGGGGGGGGGGAAAGGAGAAGGAGGGGGGGGAAAGGAGAAGGAGGGGGGGGGGAAAGGAGAAGGAGGGGGGGGGGGGGGAAAGGAGAAGGAGGGGGGGGGAAAGGAGAAGGAGGGGGGGGGGAAAGGATAAGGAGGGGGGGGAAAGGAGGAGAGGGGGGGAAAGGAGAAGGAGGGGGGGGGGGGAAAGGAGAAGGAGGGGGGGGGGGGGAAAGGAGAAGGAGGGGGGGGGGGGGAAAGGAGAAGGAGGGGGGGGGGGGAAAGGAGAAGGAGGGGGGGGGGAAAGGAGAAGGAGGGGGGGGGGGGAAAGGAGAAGGAGGGGGGGGGGGGAAAGGAGAAGGGGGGGGGGGGAAAGGAGAAGGAGGGCGGGAAAGGAGAAGGAGGGCGGGGAAAGGAGAAGGAGGGGGGGGGAAAGGAGAAGGAGGGGGGGAAAGGAGAAGGAGGGGGGGGAAAGGAGAAGGAGGGGGGGGGGAGAAGGAGGGGGGGGGGGAAGGAGAAGGAGGGGGGGGGAAGGAGAAGGAGGGGGGGGAAGGAGAAGGAGGGGGGGGGAAGGAGGAGGGGGGGGGAAGGAGGAGGGGGAGGAGGGGGAGGGGGGGGAGGAGGGGGGGGAAGGGAGAAGGGGGGGGGGGGAGGAGAAGGAGGGGGGGGGGAAGGAGAAGGAGGGGGGGGGGGGAAGGAGAAGGAGGGGGGGGGGGGAAAGGAGAAGGGGGGGGGAAGGTGAAGGAGCGGGGGGGGGGAAGGTGAAGGAGCGGGGGGGGGGAAGGAGAAGGAGGGGGGGGAAAGGAGAAGGAGGGGGGGGGGGAAAGGAGAAGGAGGGGGGGGGGGAAAGGAGAAGGAGGAAGGGGGGGAAAGGAGAAGGAGGAAGGGGGGGAAAGGAGAAGGAGGAGGGGGGGGGGAAAGGAGAAGGAGGAAGGGGGGGAAAGGAGAAGGAGGAAGGGGGGGAAAGGAGAAGGAGGAAGGGGGGGAAAGGAGAAGGAGGAAGGGGGGGAAAGGAGAAGGAGGGGGGGGGGAAAGGAGAAGGGGGGGGGAAAGGAGAAGGGGGGGGGGAAAGGAGAAGGGGGGGGGAAGGAGAAGGGGGGGGGGGAAGGAGAAGGAGGGTGGGGGGGGGGGGGAAATGTTCTTGCCCTCTCCATATTACTGAAATTACTGAAGTCAGATGAATTCTCCTGAACTCCCTTGTCCTCATTGCAAAGGTGTGTGTGTGTGTGTGTGTTCAATATTCTATCCAAGAATATGGATACAACTTATCCACTTTGTGCACAAATTTGAGCTGAATACTAATTTAGTATACTATATGGACATTTTACTTGTATTGAAAATCAAAACTAAAATATCTGCACAGTGAATAATGTTTCAAATGGGGATAAGGTTTCCAATTCTGCCAAAATTTCAGTGGTACATTTAAAGTAGATAAATATCACTTAAGACCTATGAAATCCTTGTTATATAGTACTGTATTGCCATAAATTAGCCTGATATAAACTGCAATTTCAGGCACAGAGAGCACTAGCATCTACCCTAAATAAGTCCATACTTTCCCTCAAGACTAAGCTATGGGACTTTTTCAATCAACTAAACAACCTATAATACAGTATCTTTAAATTACAGTACACGTAAACATTTTTATGTGTAAGAAGCAGTCTTTTTATCAGAAAAAATTTCCTGATTGAACTTAAAAACTATACCGAGTTTATTTCCTGGAAGTACTGTATATAATTACCTTCATGACAGCAACAGGATAGAAAGCATGCACAAACTACCCTTACTCAACGTTATCAATCAACATGAACATGATTTTTTGTTCCCATTTCAGATGCTGTAGAAGACAAATTGCCTGTCAGATCAGAGTCTGATCCTAGATGTGTAATCCACTACCTCAGCCTCAAGACTACAATAGAATCTCAGATAATTTTGCTTAGTGATAAGAGTTACAGAAAGCTTTTGGAATGTAAGAAAATTCGAGAAGGACTGAGTGAAGATGAGAGCCACGCTAAGCAGTGCGAGTCTATTCCAACCCCATGCTATGATTCTAAGAGAGATGGTTACCACAGACCTTGTTACATGGAGTTTATGAAAGCAAAAATAATCAACAAATGTAAACGTGATAAAGAAAATAACAATGAAAAGCTAGAATCTCAATCCCATTCCAAATGTGACCTAGAGAATAGTGATGAAACATTGGAATCTCAATCCCAGTCCAAATATGACCTAGAGAACAGCGACGAAACATTGGAATCTCAATCCCAGTCCAAACGTGACCTAGAAAATAGTAATGAAACATTGGAATCTCAATTCCCGTCCAAACATGATCTTGAGAATAATAATGAAACAATGGAATCTCAATATCAGTCCAAACATGATCTAGAGAATAGTAATGAAACATTAGAATCTCAATCCCAGTCCAAACTTGACCCAAGGAATAATGATGTAACTGTACTTCTGATCAAGAGCAAACAATTAAATAAGAAAGAAAATTCAGATACGAAAAAACAAAATGAATATGAAAAAGTAAATAGAATTGAAAAATCAAAATCCCGAGTTCAACCCAAGTATGACTCGGTGAATAAGGAAAAGAAATTGGATTTTAAAGCTCAATCAAAATATGGCATAGTAAACAACAGTGATAAAGCAGAAAGTCGAGCTCAACACAAATATGGCCTTATAAACAAGATAAATCTTGAATTACAGTCCAAGTACAATGTCATAGCTAAGTGTGAAGAATCAAACTCAAAAATGCAACCCAAATCTAACTTATTAAACAAAATAAAAAAGCTGGATCCCACAACCCTATCCAAATATAACCTGGTAAATGAAGGAAAACAGAAGCCAGAATTTCAAGCCCGACCCAAGTATGACCGAACATACGAAAACAGAAAGATAGACCCAAGAATGCAACAGAAATATGAGCAGGTAAACAGAAGCGATAAGTTACGCATTCAATCTCAAGCCACATGTATCCAAGAACATCGTTTTAAGGAGTCAAACTCTCAAGTTAGGTCAACAGAGCACCATGTGAACATGAAGGATGACTCAAGCACTAGAGGTGAGCCTGAACACAAGCAAGATAATTATTACAAAGCATTTGGCCCTACACACCAATCAACACATAATTCTAATATTGAGGACCAATCGAGATGGAACAAAGAAAACTATAACACACATTCAAAACAAAGTTCCAGATATCAAGAAACTCTCAATGATATTCCAAATGCTCAACTCCAGGTCACATGTACTACTGAGCATGATTTGCCAGAACTAATTAACCAGCCTCAGTCCAAACACATCCAAGTCAAGAATGACAAATCATTAGCTCTATCTCAATCCACATATCAACAGGAAAACAATGACTTGCAAGTCACAGATAATCAAGAAAGTTATGAGAAATTGCAATTTACTTGTAAAGAAGAAAGCAATGATGACTCAAATCTTGAATTCCAATCCAGTGATAAAAAAGAAACTGATGGACTGCAATCCACATGCAAACAAGAATATGATGATTCTCAATCCACAGATAAACAAAAAAATAATGAGTCACAATTCACATGTGATGAAAATTATACAATGTTTCGTGAACCCCAACACACACGTGAGGATTATGAATCCCTGTCACCAACATGTGAAAATGAAGAATCCCAATCAACATATGAAAACAATGACAAATTGTATCTTCCATCCCAGTCCATAAATAAGAGAGAGTGTGATGAATCACAATCCACATTTGAACAAGAAAACAATGATGACTCACAATCAGAAAGTAAACATGATAACAATGACAACATTCAACCTACAAGTGAACAAGGAAAAAATATTGAACTGCAGTTTACAAATGAACAAGAAATAAATGAATTCCAAACCACATATGAAGAAAACAATAAGGTGGATCCTGACTCCCAATCCACAAGTGCACAACTAACTGATGAATTACAATCCACAGATGAACAAGAAACTGATGAATCACAATCTAAAGATGAACAAGAAAATGAATGTCAATTCAATAATCAAGAAAATGAATCCCAATCCAACGATGAAGAAAATAAATCCCAATCTGATGATAAACAAGAAAATGAATCCCAATCCAATGATGAACACGAAAATGAATCCCAATACAAAAATGAACCAGAAAATGAATTTCAATCCAAAGCTGAACAAGGAAATGAATCCCAATCCAATGAACAAGAAAATAAATCCCAATTCAATGATGAACATGAAAATGAATCCAAATCCAATGATGAACAAGAAAGTAAACACCATTCCAATAATGAACAAGAAATTGAATCCCAATGCAATGATATATTAAATAAATCCCAATTTAATGAACAAGAAAGTGAATCCCAATCCAATGATGAACAAGAAAGTGAATCCCAATCCAATGATGAACAAGAAAATAAATCCCAATCCAGTGTTGAATACAAAAATGAATCCCAATCCAAAGATGAACAAGCCAATGAATTCCAATCTGATGATGAACAAGAAAATGAATCCCAATCCAAAGATGAGCAAGAAAATGAATCCCAATCCAGTGATGAACAAGAAAATGAATCTCAATCTAATGATGAACAAGAAAGTGAATCCCAATCCGATGATGAACAAGAAAGTGAATCCCAATCCAATGATGAACAAGAAAAATCCCAATCCAGTGATGAACAAGAAAAATCCCAATCCAGTGATGAACAAGAAAAATCCCAATCCAGTGATGAACAAGAAAAATCCCAATCTAGTGACGAACAAGAAAAATCCCAATCCAGTGATGAACAAGAAAATGAATCTCAATCCAGTGATGAACAAAATTATGAATCACATCCTAATCCACAATACACAAATGAACAAAATAAGGAAAAATCACATAATGAATCCAAACATGAAATTAAAGACCATTATGAACTGTCAGTTTGTCAATTACAACTCACATGCAATCTAGAAAATTACTATGAAGAACCTGAGCCTTTGTCCCAGTCAATTTGTGACCAAACAGACACTGAAGAGAAGTCAGTCACTACATCAAAACCGATGAGCAAAAATGAAAGCAATCATTACCAAAATCCTGAGCTGTACCACACGTGGGAACAAAAAAACAAATTCCAATCCATATGCCACAATGAAAATGATTATGAAGAGTCAAACCTTCAATTCCAATCATTATTTCACAAAGATACTGAACAAGAAGAATCAAACTATTCATCAAAAACAATAAGTGCTCAAGAAAATAATTATGAAGAAGCTGATCCTCGGTCTGAACCAGCATGCGATCTAGGACGTGTTCTAACAGCAAGCGATCAACCAACTAGCTATAAAGAGTTCGCTCCAACATTAACATCCAACACTAAACTAGATCCCGAGTTCCATTTCATCAGGGAACATAACTGGTATGAACTTTCAGAAGGCGATCACAATGGGTCAAGTCCGTGGTCCCAATTTGCAAATATAAAAGAAAATGATGAGTTGCTTCCTGAATCCCAATACCTAAGTGACCAGGAAACATGCTGTGATAAATCAGGTCCAGCATCACAGTTCATTTGCAACCAAAACCTTCATGAGGAGATATACCCTGAACTCCAGTCTAAATGTGACCCAGAGAACATTAATGAACAGCAATACTGTCACATGCAATCACAAAGTCATCAAGAAAAAGACGAGTCAGAATTTAAGTCCCAATCCAAATATGACCATGTAATAAAAAATAATGGGTCACAGTCTCAACCCCAGTCATTACATATCAAAGAAAATAAATACGAAGAGTTAATGCTAAAAGCTCTGTTCCAATGTGAACAAGAGGTTGAAAGTGAAGGGTCTGGCTCAGAATCCCAATCCAAATACGAGGAAAATTACAGCAAAGACCTGGACTATAAACCCAAACTTCAATATGACTCGAGAAACAATGAAAAAGAAGGTTCTCAAGCTCATTCTAAATGTGATCATGAAAATGATGAGGCATCAGATTCTGAATCTCTATCAACACATGACCAAGAAAGTGATAACGACGAGTTTAACCTTCAGAATGAAACTCAATATGACCTACAGAACAATAATGTTATATTAAGACTTCAAACTCAATCTGCTTCTAACAAAGAGAATAAAACATCTGATTCGGAAGCCCAATACAGTTGTAAGCAAGAAAGCAACAATAAAAAATTTGATAATGCATCCCAATCTAAAAGTGATCAAGAAACCAATAATGAAGAGTCAACCTTCCAATCACTTTTGAAATGTGATTCAAAATTTATTAACAAGTTATGTTCTCCAGACAAAGACAGATGCAACCAAGAAAATATCAATGAAGTATCTGAGGCAAAGGAAGATTCTCAGGAAGACGACGACTCTGAGGAAGAAGAGTCCGAGGAAGAATCTAAGGAAGAAGAATCCGAGGACGAATCTAAGGAAGAAGAATCCGAGGAAGAATCTAAGGAAGAAGAATCCGAGGAAGAATCTAAGGAAGAAGAATCTGAGGAAGAATCTAAGGAAGAAGAGGAAGAATCTGAGGATAAGAAGGAAACCCCATCAATATCTTACCAAGAAAGTGATGAAGAATCAGATAAAGAGTTCCAGTACCTGTGTGACCTCAGAAACAAAATTAAGAAATTAGACCATGAGGTGCCTTTTGCTCAGACACAGTTCATATATAATCATGGAGGTGTAAATGTAAAACCAAGCCCCAACTTCAAACCCACCACTGACGAAGAAGGTGAAAACGATGAGTGCAACTCGGAAATCAAAGATTAAACACACAAAGGCATATCCATTAGAAAGCTTGCATCTGTTACAGACCAGTGAATTTGCATCAGGTAGATACTGTAAGTTAAGAAAATTAATGAAACTTATAATGGAACTGATAAAGTTTCTTTAAACTATTTACCTTACAGAATAATACTATGATGTGAAAGAAGGTACCTCCTCAATGAAACTTAAAATTGCACTCTCTGAAAACACCGCTGGCACTCGAGAGTTGTAAATACATGTCATCCCAGGCCATAATGCCACATCAAGGTCAATTATGAACAATATTTTAAACTCCTGAGGCTAATCTGAACACTATAGAAATTATCTGGTTAATTCAGTTACATTTGAGTTCTATGGAAATTATTAAGTTAGCTCTGTTATGACATTTGGATAGTATGGAAATGTTAAGTCTACTCAGTTCTATTATGACATTTTAATAAGTAGAATAAACAATTTACCAAAAGGTGATATCTTCCATTTCAGAGTAAAAGTTTGCAATAAAAACTGCAATGTTTTAATATACATTATAATTAAAATTTTGTTTTATTTTTGTATCCACATTGGCTGATAATAATGTTTGTTATATTATTGTGTACTATAAAGGAAATACAGAAGGTAAAGAAAAAGATGCTTGTTGACCAAACCACACACTAGTGATCCAGTGAAGAGACGACGACTGTCGTCCCTTCTCGGCTCAAGCTCAGCTGAACAGCTCAAGCGTCGACAGCCTAAGTTCAACCTTGTCACACCCACCACCACAGCTTAAGATCCACTTTGTCACACCCATCACCACAGCTTGAACTTAATCTTGCCACACCCACCACCACCACAGCCTAAGATCCACCTTGTCACACCCACCACCACAGCCTGAGCATAATCCTGCCACTACTAAAAGTGCCACCTGAATCTTACCTGTGGTGGAGATTTGTTTCGCTCATGCAACTGCTGAGTTAATCGTTGAATTTCTAAATCCCGCTCACTTAGTGTGGCAAGTGATCGCTGTTGCTGCATGGACAGCTGTTGCTCAACAGCTGCTACTACTGCCCGGCTTTCACTCTCTGCACGTCGCAACTGATTGTCATGAGATGTTCTTAAGGATGATAACTCCTGTAACATTTTAAAAACATTTTAATCATTTATAAAGTATTAGTTTTTAGATTTTTATTGGATTTACCTCAAATAACCCTTATTCTATAAATAACTTAGATATACAAGTACAGGTAATAGATAAATAATCAATTATGCAGGAGATCCAGGTAACATGAATGAAATCAGGCTTGGATTATATCTTTGGACAACCTAGATGATGTCCGTGATTAGACAGCACAGCTGAATCAAAGAGCAAACACGACTTATGCCACTGACCTAAGAATACAGTACAGTATATGCATTTAAGGTAAACACAATATTTTGACAACACAGCACTATACACTGTTTAGGCAGTGATTTGCCTAAGACAGTGTATAGTGTCTTTGCCTCCTTTCCTCATCACAATCGACTTGAGAATGGTCCAGGACGGACCGAAACATCGTTGTCTCTTCACTTTCTAGTGTGTGGTTTGGTCAACATATTTCAGCCACGTTATTGTGACTCCTCGTCTGCACATCAATACCAAGAGGTATTTCCAGAAAATTCCCTTCTTGCATTAGACTAGCTGTCACCCACTTTAGTACTGTATTAAATTAGCTTCCAGTTGGTATGCAGCTTTACTCGGGTAAAAGAATCATCAGTATGAACCAACATGTGTATAGGTGTGTCACCAGTATGAACCAACATGTGTATAGGTATGTGTAACCAGTATGAAGGAAGATATGAGTAAGAGCACCACCAGAACGTACCAACATACAAGTACAGATCACCCAACAGTGGGGAGTTGCGTTGAATGTACTGTGTAGTATATAGGTAATTAAAAACATAACCAAAAAATAAACTGATCAGCCTTTACCTGTCTAAGTGATGCCACCTGCTGAGAATGAGAGTCTGCAGCAAGCTGAGCAGCCGAGGTGAGATTACGGATCTTCTGTCGCAATTCTTCTATTTGTTTTCCACAGTCTCCTTTACAGGATGGTTCTTTGACAGCTCTTAAATATATAGGGTTCCATCATTTGTTAAGTAGGAAGCTATAATGATAAAAGTATTAGGATCATTAGGCATCATTTTTAACAATCACCAGAACTGTTATTACATTAAATACATAGCCACAAGCTGCTTTCTATTGGAACCTCTATTTTATATCAAGTAAACCTCCCAATTTTACATAGATACCTTGAGATGTCTTGTGCCATATCAAACAACTAGATAAATACAATCGTATTATAACCTCAATGGGCAGAATGAATTTGCCATCAGTAAGCCTCAAAAATCTGGATCCTAGTGTTCGGATTATCATAGTACAGTACAGTAGTCTCAAACTGGATACGGCAAAAATTCAGGATCTAAGTAAAATTTAAAAGCCTTTTCTGATGGAGTCACTTGGTTATTTCCTAAGCCAAAGAGGCTCCTGGCATTATTACCCCTGACTATACCTAGTCAAGGCAGGTCAACAAACTGCATCTGCATAGTCGGGATCTTTTTCAAACTGTCTACCTCAGGATTATACTGATGCTGTCCAGCCCAGGACTGCCAGAAAGCAAAATTCAAAACACTTAAGTCCTTCTAAACACCAATTGAAGTTCTTGCAAACTGACAGTTGGGGCACTTGACTGATGACCACAGAAAGCAGCACCTCACATACACAGGATCCTGTAACTTGAGCTACCTCATAATATAATTAATCCCTCAAGGAAATTACACATCTCTGGAGGAACAGCTGAGGATCAAAGATCAACTCACTAGTAAAGTGAAACACATGGTGACTAAATATCTCCTTAATATACATAACCATAAAAAATTCCAGGTTCATGGACAAAATGCAAAGCAAGAACAAAAAGTAATGGGAGACTCGAGTGAAGAATACCCACTACTGAGGCAATAACTGAATCAGCAAAGAGATGCTAGCTGTGTAACATCAGTCAGTTATAGAATCCAGATATAAACAATGAGCGAATACTTGCATATAAAACATGTTCCTAATAGTTTGAGCCCTCTGCATAAGGATTTCAAATTTGCTAGGAAGAAACAATTCACTTAGAGGAATGTGTTTGGCTTATGTCAGCCAAAAGTGTAATGGGAACACAAAAAAATGAGGCGAGCACCCTGTGTACCATGTCGGCCAGCAGGTGTCAACACTTTATGGTGATTGTGAGCAGATGGTAGACAGGACCACTAGCAACCTGCACAGTGCTTCTTGGAATTCTTTCAAAGGATGTCAGCGCAGTTACACAAGCCTTCGGTTCACTGCACCATATGACTAAACAGGGACATAGCAACCCATAGCAGCTGTCTAACTCCCAGGTACCTATTTACTGCTAGGTAACAGGGGCATCAGGGTGAAAAACTCTGCCCAATTGTTTCCGCCTCCACCGGGATTGAACGCGGACCTCAGGACTACAAATCCAAAGCACTGTCCCCTCAGCTGTCAGGCCCCTAACCTGACCTCAGGTCAGGTCAGGTGATGGGTGGATGGCAGAACCAGAAGAAACCACAGCATGTCCATTCGACCGATTACGGTAACTGTAGTGTCATCTGGAAGCAGCAAGTGTAACTTGTGATCTATTACACTACTCTAATATAGAGGAATTACAGAACTCTAACAAAGAATGAGATCAATGGGTGGTTTTGGATAGTAAGCTGTCGTCACAGGAACACAAAAAACATTGTGAGAGGAGCGTATGTGTTGCTTTCCAACTTCAGACTTACTTTTAATTATATTGATGGTGAAATATTAAAGAAACTGTTTGCGAGACCAAAATTGGTATATGCAGCAGTTGTGTGGTGCCCAAATCTCAAGAAGCACATAAAGAAACTGGAAAAGGTGCAACAGCATGCTACAAAAAGGCTTCCGGAACTGAAAAACAAGAGCTACAAGGAGAGACTAGAGGCGTTAAAACATGCCAAAACTAGAAGATAGAAGAAAAAGAGCTGATATGATCACCACTTACAAAATACTAATAGGAATCTATCAAATTGACAAAGGAATTCCTGAAACCAGCAACTTCACAAAGAAAAGGACACAGATTCAAGCTAAGGAAACAGAGGTGTCGAAAAAATATTAGAAAGTTTTCTTTTGCAGTAGATGGTAGATGGTTGGAACAAGCCAAGTGAGAAGGTGGTGTAGGCCAAAACCGTCAGTAGTTTCAAAGCGTTATATAACAGAGTATTGGGAAGACGGGACACCACGAGCATAGCTCTTATCCTGTCACTTCACTTAAGGTAATTACTAACAGTTTATTGAGCACCAATTAGTATTCTTGGTACTTCTAATTTTTGCTTGCTTGGGGAGTTTGAGATATATCATGGAAGCTAGTATTCTTGATGGTGGCTTTAGTTAGATTTGAGTTCATATCCTGGCTGGGAAGGATTGATCGGGCGCCAGTCCTTAACTGTAGTCTCTGTTCACCCAGCAGTGAATGGGTACCTGGTTGTTAAACGATTTGGAGGGTCATATTCCAGGGGAAATTAGGATTAAAGACCTGCCCGAAACGCTATGTGTGCTAGTGGCTGTACAAGAATGTAAAAACTATTGTACTGTACATATAAATAAATAAAATAAATATATTTGTTATTGTCTACCTTCAATATTTCTATGACACTACCACTTGCAAAGATCCCTGTCATGATGGGGATAACAGTATAGAGTGCTTGGTGGATGATACAAGTTGTGTGGATCATATAGAAGCTGGCCATGGCAGCCTGAGATGGGCTCAGAAATGTTTCCTTTTTAAATGATAAATAAAATTTAGAGCTTACTTTGACTGCTGTTTGGAAGAAATCTTGTAGTTTTCAAATTCCTCCTTCAGGTGGTCGTACTCCTGCTGGCACCGAGAGTGTATGTTCTCGCCTCCGTATAAAAGGCCTGCAGATGTCAATGATGTTCTTAATAATGATAAAAATTAGTCTATTTTCTAAATATCAAATTTATCATTCTTTACCAAGGTGTGAAAATTAAGTCAGTTATATTAAGGATGTTCATGCAATAAGTATAAGTAGTGTACTCCTTATTCAACAGATTCGTACCCGACCCTTACGCATAAAACAATTTTTTTTTTTTTAAACTTGACCCCCTTTCCCCCTCCCCAACTATTTTGTGACGAACATTATGGAATTTTTATGACTGAAAATTCCATGGTATAATATTCCATTATAATTACATGATGTGTGTACCAATTATATTCATCCGGTTTTTACAATACATTATGGTTGTAATGGATTATACAGTGGTATATCATGATGCATTTTTCTGCATCAGGATGTGCTTGTCTGCTGGCATTGTCTGCCGGTTGTGTGTGTGGTGCTATGGTATGCTTGGATTTCACTACTGTACTACATCCACCAGACTTGCTTATTGGTTCATAATGGTGCATAAAATAGTAGTTATATATAATGCGTATATTATATATAACAAAAACAGACCCCACATGGTAAGAAAATTGCAACCGAAAACCGAAAAAAGGCAGAACTCCCTCAATTCCCAAGGAAACAAGCAAACATCATCTTGAACCGAAGAGACCACCATAAACCGAGGAGGAGAGAGATAGGAGAGCACCCTGTCCAAGGATCGGGATGGCTCAGGCGGCGCATGAGCAGGCCCAAGGTGAAACAAAGCACGAGAAAGCTTACGAAATGGAGCAGAAGTGACATCCACCCCAAACGCAATCTGAAGTGGCTCTGCAAGCGCTGCACGATATGAAGGGACAGTGTTAGGCATTAAATGACAATCCTGAAAAAGCCAAGACAGAAAGGACAAAACAACCCGATCAGAAATAGAAGACAACCTACAAAGATAGAGAAAACTGGGGAAAGAACTCTAGGAAACTTCATACTGCCGCCAAGACGAAGCTTTCAAGTTGGACACCATCAAAGACGCCACCTGATCACCATACAAATGGTGATACTGTAAATACAAACGGTGACACCATACAAATAGTGATAAACCCACGACAAAAAGACCAGACACTAAGAGCGGAGGAGAAGACTGAACCAACCGTGTACCGGATCGGTCCGATCTGCTGAAAGAGGCAGAGCTGCAGAAAATGCCCCGGGTTCGGATAACGAGCAAGCAGAGCTTGAAACCAAGGCTGGGCCGGCCACCAAGGGGCCACGAACTACTCTCCCGTGGAAGGACTCCAACCGAGCTAAAACCCGAAGCAACAGCTGGACTGGGGAGAAGAGGTACAGGTAACCCCACCTCTACCAGTCCTGCCAAAAGGTGTCCACCGTGAACTTTGTGACTACAAAGCCCAATATATATATATATGTGTTTAGAATGAGTTATGATGCATGCTTGCAGGGGTTGAGCTTCAGCTCTTTGGTCCTGACTCTCAAGTGTCAAGTCACCTGGAGTATTGGTTCCCAGGACAATGTGGCTCCTTCACATCTACATTTAAAACTGAGTGGAGTCTTCCTCAACATCTCCTTTCAATTAGTGCAATCCACTGGCTTATTACTCTGACAAAATGATTTCTAATGTGCTGTATTAATGCAAATGTGTCTAAAAATTTACATTTTTAATACAAAGAAATAATTATAAATACTCCGCATACAAACTCATACTTTCAACATCAACAGGATGTGATGAGTGAAAATTTGCATTGATCAGCTGGTCGCGAAGTTTGGTTAAGCGACGACAGAGGGCATTTACATCTGTCTCACTGTTATCCGTGTCTTGCTCTAAACGCGATGCAAGATAAGTGTTCTCTTGTGCCAGCTCCGATACTTTCTCCTAAAAAAAAAATTAATCAATATTAAATTTAATCCAGCAATTAAAATCTTGATATCATGCAGGGTATCACAAGTACAACATCTTTTATAAGTAAAATAATAAAGCACCATGTTTACTCAATCGCTAAACTGAAAAAAAGTACTTTTCTGTATACCATGCCATTCTTCACTAAACATCAAAATGGATTATATGCAATCATGCTAAACAATTATCCCCAACACACACACACACACCCTCTGGACTTCATTCTTATGCCTTAAATATTAAAACACATATCTTTGAGCTCTTCTGTCTCAGACACGCTACAGTTAGTCACTTTCTGTATTGCCTCGGTACCTCCCTCCATCTACTAGCTGTCCTTTGTCACTTGCTGAGCCTCATTACCCTTAATTCCTAGCAACATGTACTTAACAAGTGCAGTACATGTTGCTGCCCAATAATTTCTACAAGATGATTATGGGTCAATACAACCACCAGTTCTTATAAGCAAATCCATCTGCAAAACATTTATTAACACGTCACATACTTGTATGGATATCATAAAAGTGGAGGAATTGCAACTTAATTTAAGAAATGACAGTAAATTTATTAAGAAATACTGTAACCTCACTAGGTAAATAAAGTCGAGAAATACTAAAGAGAAATGTTGCAAGAAACAAAAGCTCAGGCAAAGGTATAAAGAAAGGAAAAAATAATGAAAACTAGGAAGAATATTTACCAAAAACAAAAGCATAAGGGCAAAAAAATGGAGCAGACCAAATAGTAATATAGTATATTTAGTTTAATAAAAACCCATTAACAAGGGAATATGTGCTCCTACTTGCATCCCCCACAGTAGTGCTTCCATAGGTAACCAAGGCAAACTTACCAGTTCTTGTAAATGACAAACCACGAGACACACAGAAATCACACTAACGTGATGCAGTACATCAAATGGCCTATTGACATATCTCAATAAATGGAGAACGGCCATTTACAATGACATAGCTCGAGTGCAGGGGGGAGTTGTGTAAAACCCTGGTTTGTGCCTCGGAGAGGCTGAGGGATCCAGTAAGTTCAGTAGAACTTCGGTTTCAACTCTTTTTAACCCTGTCTTAGCTCAGTCGATTAAGACAGTGCCTGGGATGCTCCCGGACGCAGGTTCGAATCCTCGTCACGGCCCTTGTGGATTTGTTCATTTACAAACCATGAGAAAATACATGAATAAATGGATATTACCTTCAATTTCTGAATGGCATGAAGGTCTTCTTGTCGTGTGCGGTCATACGAAGCAACAGTGACCGACAAGTCAGACAGCCGAGCTTCTAATGCTACCACTCTCTCCTCGTGACATTTCGCCAAGTCCCTTGCAGATTCTTCCACAGCAGCAGCACGACAAAGCTCCTAATTAATTAAAAACAAGAAATTAGTCCTATAATAATATGAACTGGCAGAAGAAAGTACAGTAATGGAGAAAAAAAAGGGAGACAGGCAATTTCTAACACTGTAGTTAGTGCATACAGTGATGCCATGCACTACATGGCTTCACTGTACATTTTCATGATGACCTTGGATAAAATTAATTTCTCCACACAAAGCAAAGAACAGTGTTAAGAGTGAGTATTCTAGTGCTCTGAACATATAGAATCTAAATTAAATAGGAAATATTAATCTTAGATGAAGTGTATTTTAAATCTAAGCTTTTTGCCATACAGTATCTAGTACATCACATTTTGACAATTATGTACTAAAAATCCTAGCAGCTCTGCAAGCCCAAGAGGACAGACTGGCCCATTAGCTTACTTGCTGGAGAGCTTGGTTATGCTGAGTTCGCATTTCCTCCATCTGTCCCTGAATCTTCCGCAATATTGGAGGCTCCTCTGACTGCTGCTCTGCTCTCTTCAAGCGAGATCGAACCTGAAGCAGGAGATAAATGGCAATAACAATGAAAATAAATCAATAAATAATTACTTACACACACACACACACACACTCTCTCTCTCTCTCTCTCAGATGATTGTCATGCCCTTCAAGATGACCTGGACAAAATAACTATATGGAGCACCACTTGGCAAATGGAATTTAATGTTAATAAATGCCATGTTATGGACTGTGCAATAGGAGAACATAGACCTCACACAACCTATATATTATGTGAGAAATCTTTAAAGAATTCTGATAAAGAAAGAGATCTAGGGGTGGTTCTAGATAGAAAACTATCACCCGAGGACCACATAAAGAATATTGTGCGAGGAGCCTATGCCACGCTTTCTAACTTCAGAATGGCTTTTAAATACATGGATGGCGATATACTAAAGAAATTGTTCACGACTTTTGTTAGGCCAAAGCTAGAATATGCAGCGGTTGTGTGGTGCCCATATCTTAAGAAGCACATCAACAAACTGGAAAAGGTGCAAAGACATGCTACTAAGTGGCTCCCAGAACTGAAGGGCAAGAGCTACGAGGAGAGGTTAGAGGCATTAAATATGCCAAAACTAGAAGACAGAAGAAAAAGGTGATATGATCACTACATACAAAATAGTAACAGGAATTGATAAAAACGATAGGGAAGATTTCCTGAGACCTGGAACTTTAAGAACAAGAAGTCATAGATTTAAACTAGCTAAACACAGATGCCGAAGAAATATAAGAAAATTCACTTTCGCAAACAGAGTGGTAGACGGTTGGAACAAGTTAGGTGAGAAGGTGGTGGAGGCCAAGACCGTCAGTAGTTTCAAAGCGTTACATGACAAAGAGTGCTGGGAAGACGGGACACCACAAGCGTAGCTCTCATCCTGTAACTACACTTAGGTAATTACACTTGGTAATTACACACACACACACCAAACTGTCCTCTACCAAATAAGCCGCATTTCAACGCAATTCCAATTCACAGTAAAAATTTCAGGGTTTTGGTAAAAATTAAAACACCATAATATTGACATTCTTCTGAGCATTGGCCTTGATAGGTCAAATGGGTTTGAGTGTGTCTGGCTAGGCAAAATAATTTTTTTTTGTACAATGTCAAATGGTGAAAATAGCTTGCATACACACATGAATATTAATCTAGATGTAATATGCTCATCTGTATATTGAAGACCTGAAGAATACCAGTTACCAACACTACAACTTGCAAATAAACCACACCAAGAGCACTAATATTACAAATGTATACAAGAAATGCAAATATTGTAGTTACAAAATATCCATGATAGAACACTTGATATTTATTACTTGCTCTAATTCGTTCTGCAAATCGCTGATTTTCTTTTCATAAAGTTCTTGAGGGCGCTGGTCGATGGGGGGTGTGGGACGTTGGAGCTGCTGCTTGGCCTCATCAAGTGACGCCTCCATTCGTTCTCGTGCGCTTCGTTCTACTGCCAGCTTGCTCTCTAACTCCCTTTACAAAATTAGGATGCACGAGTTAACTAGTAAAGACATTTCAAATATATATACATATATATAAATATAAAATATTAATGTGTTAAATCACAAAGTACAGAAAAATACCATTGAATGTAATGAAACGCCATTTTTCTGGGCAAGACCTGAGGGCTCCCGGAGCTATACTGGGCTGATGTGTATACATTTTTTTGTTTTTGTTTGCAGGGATATTCCTGCACGGACCCTAAGCCTCTGGCTGGCCCACTAAGTGTTGCTTGTTTCTGTTTTAGTTAGGTGGAGTATGAGTGTTTATGACTCGTATGGTCGCTTCAGTAAGATTTTGCCCCATGTCTTTAACAACAACAACTGCTCTGTTGAATCTAAGTTGAAATCTTAATGGGTTTGTAACTCTGCACTGTGTTAGATAATGTTCCAGGAGTCTGTCTGGCATTTCTCCAGTGCTGAAATTTCCTCTCATCTTCCGGAACCTGTAAGCCTATTTCCCATGCACATGGGTATCCAAGCCTGATGCGATGTAAGTGTACTTCTGTTGTTCTACTGCTCCCTTTCATCAAAATAGATGGTTTAAAGTTGGTTGAATTCTTGTATTAACCTGCAGATTCTGATGTTGCAACTGCTGTGTTGTGGTCATCTTTTGCATCTTTTGGGGGGTCTTGCCCCCCTTCCCTCTCCCAGGGAGGGGCGAGTTACGCAGACAGCGGCACGGCGGCTGTGGTAACATTATGCTTGCTTGTTTGTTTTCCAATTGGGGAGTTCTGCTTGCTTGTTTGGCTTTCGGTTTGCAATTTTTCACCAGCTGTAGTTTATTTTGGGATTCCTACTTTTCTGGGTGCCTGACCTGGTAGATGGCAGACAGACTGCTTCCAACCACACAGGGGTGTCTATAGGCCATTGCTCCTCATGCCTCTCTGAAGGGGGCCAGGTCCTGGCTCGTGGTCCCCGATAGGCTTAGAACTCCATCGATTGACTGTTGCCATGGTCCAATATATATAAATCAGCCCGGTATAACACCAGGGAGCTGTAGGGGCTCTCCACAGAAAACATGATAAAAACACTATTAAATACAAGTAGGCTTTAGAACATAATAGTTGAAGTTTGTTATTTTTTTTTTAATTCTCAAGTGTATGAGTAACTAGTCTTTTCCCAATGTACACAGTAGCACTCCCAGCAAGTAATTTTTTGTATTGTGATGCCTGTGGACCCTCACTTTTAATTTCTTCCCCTTCAGAGATAATGCAAATACAGAGCTTATGAAGGATTATCCCGGCTCATTTGATGACATTATGCAACTTACTTTAACTGTGCTCACCAATGGGAAGTAAAATGAACTATCTTGTGCAAGGCTGCCATCTATGACAAAGGGAAAACTAGTTTTTCATTAACTTGTTGCTCACAACTGCTACAACTGGACTTTGTCCAAGTAGAATAACTTTCAATATTTCTTTGCACCTTTCTTCCAGATGTGCTCCTTTAGGCGGATATTCTGAGTAAGCACCAACCTGTAAGGTTTCTTCTTAAAAATTTTATACATAATTCTGCATAGATGGGTAAACAGTATATGCAAATTTTGACTTAAAAGAAATGTGCTAGGAATAGCAAATCATCATGACTGACAAATTTAGTCACCGATTTGTTTTAAACTTATAGTGGCAGTATCTGAAGGTAGTAGAAAAGGTTCAAGTCTCACACTATATCCCTGACCCTTTTTGCTGTATATAGTAACACTTCCCCATCCTGACCTGGCAGGTGCCTCTGTAACCTATGGAATGAAGGTAAAGGTATGATATAAATGCTAACTCTTCTATTTTCTTGTACAAATGTACAAAAGACATATCCATATGGTATTACCGTTCTTTTGGATGTTCTACATACAAACATGAACAGCTTAGAAGGGTAATGGAATGAGCAAAAGAAATTTGTTCCAGTGAACAAAGAAATCAATGAAAGGCCTGTGCTTGGGAGTAGTGTGGAGGTTCCAATACTCCTCGTGACTCCTACCGATTTTCTCATTGATACATCACATTAATGTGATTTGTTTTGTGCACAGAGCTTTGCCACACTGTTATACAATCTAGAAGAGCTTAGCACAACACCATACCTCAGCATGACGGCTGAATTTTGTGTATCTTGATCACGCTCGTGTTGGGCAATAATCAGTCTACTTCTCAAATCTTGAATTTTTTCCTCGTTGTTAATTTCATTTGCTTTTCTAGCATCCAATGTTTCTTGCAAGCTCCTTTCCAACTATTCAAAACAAGAAAAGTTTTGAGAGTTAATTAAGTGCAAGAAAATTAATAAAATTCTATAGATACTGTATAAAACAAGCACCAAAGTTTACACCATAGATTATTTTTTTTTTTTTAAGATGAAGGGATCCTGGCCGAGGCACAAGATAAAATGTGGGTGAGAGTGTTGCTAGTATTCTAAGGCACAGCAGCCTGATGGCTGAATGGACAGTGCTTGGGATTCATAGTCCTAAGGTTCCGGGTTTGATCCCGGGCGGAGGCGGAAACAAATGGGCAGAGTTTCTTTCACCGTGATGCTCCTGTTTCCCCTAGCAGTAAATAGGTACCTGGGAGTTAAACAGCTGCTACAGGCTGCTTCCTGGGGGATGTGTAACAAAAAGTAGGCCTGGTCAGGACCGGGCCACAGGGACGCTAAGCCCCAAAATCATCTCAAGATGATCGAGATAGCATGATGAAATGTAGTGATGTGAAAAGTGAGGCAAGAAGTGTAACAAGTTACATGAAAATTTGCAATATAGGTAAATCTTGTAGAGCCTTCTTTGGCTCGCATCAGCATCTAGAAAACTGAAGTCAAGATTCAATAACAACATGCACAACTGAGGAGTGGAAGCATTCAACAAGAGTCAAGCTTGAAAACCCTTCACCATAATTGCCAAATCATAATTATTAACAGGAAAGACAAGCAAAAAATTATTATTCAAGGACACAGGTAAATATGACAGATGATACATGCAATGATGTTAATATATCTGCACACGGAGAATCAAGGACTCAAAGGAGGTAATTAGAGTAACTCTAGTGGTTTACTCAAGATTGTAGCTTTTCATATTCATGGATACTTCCACTCAGGAGCAAAAGAAATCTATGATGTCCCTTGCATACCCTCTGGGGCCAAAAGAGACACACCACTCCAGGCAAAAAATGATACAAGATTCCTCTATGAAACTCGACCTGAACATCTTGGGGTCAAACAAGATATCCATCTTATTCCTGCTGATATACAGCTTTTCTACTAACAAATAATAATTATGCAATGCAAAATAAATAAATATAAATCTTTAACATATGGCTACACTGCAATAACAGATGGGGGAAAATGATCATGTGCTCAGATGTATCTAAGTTTTGGATGGGTTAAGGGCACAACAATAAATATCGGATACGTTTCCTATTGTTTTACATTATTATTTTATTACTAATAGCATAAGAACATTATAAAAATAAATAAAACACAAAATGTGGGTACGCCTACCCACATTACTAGATGCCAGTCTAGTAATACCAGTATAAAATTTTGTTATTCCAGTATCAAATTGTTTATGCAAAATCAAGGCAAATCGAAATCAAAATCAATTAAATCGTGATATGCAAAATTGGGGCTCAGCTGTAGAAATCTTTCCAATCTTTCAGAGATAACCTGGCTATGCTATTACTGTAGTTATGATGAATCAGTCAAATTTACATACAAACCTTTTCTTTCTCAGACAAAAGCCTTTTCTTGTCATTTTGAAAAGAGAGTTCAATTCGTCTTTTCTCCGAAGACAGTATGTTTAGGGCAGATGTCAAGGCAACAAGTTTTTTCTTTAAATCTTCAGTAACTTCTGTTGGATTTGCCTGCTCTTCAGTGTCCTGGAAAATATAAAATTGATATAAACTCTTTCAATATGTATGGATCACTCATATCGGGCTTAGACAATTCAAATTTTTCTATATTATGAAGAGTATACACCAAGTCTAGTATCTATAATACATCCAAGGAAAATCCCTCCAGTGTCTGTACATGATTCAGACTACCTTGACACTCAAGAACTCTATAACCCCATTTATTAAATACAGGTTATAGTGCAAATAATAATCACTCGCATAGCCATGTACAGAGCCAGTATCAGTCTTGTAAACACGGATGGCTTTACTCTCAAAAAAGCCAGGTATCACACTAGATCAAATTGAATTATGAAATCACCAGCTGCACACCAAACTTATCATTACTTCAGGTCAATAGTGAACAGAATACACTTGCAATCAAGACTCATGTACAGAGAAAAACCTACACAAAGTTTGTGAAAATATCATCCAATCACAGAGTGTAATTAGCCTTAGCTCCAGTCCTTAGTTTTAGGTGAACATTACTCATGCAGATGATCATTAGAATTGAGAATTAAGTCCGAGACCTCAAGAACAGAGCATACCTCATATATCCAAGAGAAGCGGCCCTGCAGCTGGCTAGCAGTTGATTTTGGACAAGCTGTCAAAATGACTTATTTACAGAGTTCTCAAAGCTATTACCTAGAGATGGTTTTTGGAATTAATGCCCCTGCAGCCTGGTCTTTCAATGGTTGACCAGCTCACCTCCTGGTTGGTGATCTGGTCAACCAGACAGTTAGATGCCACTGCTCATGGTATGACATATGAATTACAGCCTGGTTAATCAAGTACCTTTCAGAGGTGTTTATCATGTTCCCTTTTGAATGCAGTGAGAGGTTGGCTAGTTTTGTAGAGAGGGAGTGAATTGAAAAGTCTTGAGCCCTTTATGTTAACAGAATTCTCTTAAGCGTATCTACTGTACCTCAGCTTTTTAACGGGGGTTATTTTGCACTTCCTGCCATGACTTCTGGTCTCATGAGGAGTTATTTCTGTATGCATACAGTATTTGGAACCACTCCCTCTAATATTTTCCAAGTATAAATTCAGTGGTGGAATTTTGTGTATCGAGTCAGTTAGTTACTACTGCCCACCTTGCAAAAAACCTGTCAAGTTACTTCTCAAAGATGTCGTGAAGTGCCAGAAAAAGTTTTCACTTACCAACACTGTACTAGTGCATCTAGTATCGAGCCTCGGACAAACACACACTGTACTGACAGTATGTTGTAAAGTTTTGGCTTCCCACTGTTGGGAAGAGGAAGCCTGTTTAGACTGTCACAGTCCCCCCTAGGCCAATAACTGACCTTTCCCAGGAAAGTAACCCACAATAGTAGCCTGCTAGGACCACTCTCCAGGGCCAATTTTTCTTTCTCAACTATTATTGGAGAGCTAGATTTTGGTACCAAACTATAAGCTAATGGTCTTCTTCCTCAGAAAAACTAAGTGATTATGAAGAAATTGCATCCATATATTAATGCCACTTCTAAGATCCACCAAGACTGACCATGTAATAAATACATGTTTGCACACTGCTCCCAAGTGTCTCCTGTATCCCAACAGAAAATCTGGCTATGGCTTTGGTGAACAATCCTCAGAACTTAATCTTTATTAAAAACTAAATTAGAATCAATAAAAAAAGGTCAGTTCAATTATGGCTCGAAAGGGAAAAAGAGAAGGACTGTAGAGTAAGGGAATAGGAAATAAAAACAATAGAAGAACGAATGGAAAAATAATATTAACATATCATGCTAAATTTTCCAGCAAATGAAAATGTGAATGAACTGACAACACAGACCTTGACGTCTCTTTTGGAATGATCTCCTGTTGGTTCTTCTCCATCCTGTGGGTGTATCTCTTTTTCTGAACCTTCTGGCTTCTCAGCAACTGACTTTTGAATCTGAGTATCTGCTAAGGCAGATAAGCTCACTTCCAGGGCTTCCTTTTCTTTTAACAACCCTTTGTATGCTCTCACAACATCTGTTAAACAACCAAACTAATCAATCAACAACCTCAATGTTTGTATAAACCTTAAAATGCAAATAAATTGAATAAGACTTTCTCAAAAGGAAGGACTACATCAGTAAACAAGACAAAAACAACAATCTCTGCATTTTGTAGACAGTCAAATGAAATTATAATTAACAGTCAATATTAATTAAAGCCAACGCACCTTTCAATTTGGTTTCATATTTGGAAATCTGCTCTTTCTGTCTTTCTACTGTAGTAATTAAATCCCGTTTGCTGGCCATTGTTCCAGCAGCTGGTGAGAGCTTTACACATCCAAGTCCTGAAATATTAATCCATTATTGCACTGATCAGCTACAGAAACTTTACAAAATAAAATAATTTCTGCATCTAAATAACATGGTGATGAATAAAGCATTTGGTAGAAATAATTATGAAATAATTATGAAATAATTATCTGATAGTTGTATAAACAACGACAACACACACAAGCATGTGAAACATATGGGCAGTTCCAACTAAGCACTTAAGTACACTAGGATGACTATTGTATCAACTATCATAAACTAATCGTGTTAAACCCTCAACAGTAAACCACACAACCACAGCCCTCCACCTCACCTGCTCTCTCTCTCTCCACTGTCAAAAACAAACCAAAACACGCAACGTGTCACATCTGGCACAGGTAAACAAGCCAGTAACTATAGCTAGTGCCCTAATTAAAGCTGCTTAAACGACCCAATTACCATCATTTACCCTCAGTGCCACGCAGCCTGGGTGAGGAGGAGGAGCTACGTAGAGTTCCTACGAGAGCAGACGCTCAAACCAGGAATCGGGAGGGGAGTAGGAGGCGAAGGACATGATCGGAGAGTTGTTGTTGTTGTGAGAGTGTCTGGTGAAGGCGTTCATGAGCGCCGCCCTCGCATCCGCCTCCTGACGTCACCACCCATCTCCCGCCGCATCATATAAGCACCACCTGACGCAGCTGGTGTTAGAAGCACCACCTGACGCAGCTGGTGTCAGAAGCACCACCTGACGCAGCTGGTGTTAGAAGCACCACCTGATGCAGCTGGTGTTAGAAGCACCACCTGACGCAGCTGGTGTCAGAAGCACCACCTGACGCAGCTGGTGTTAGAAGCACCACCTGACGCAGCTGGTGTTAGAAGCACCACCTGACGCAGCTGGTGTCAGAAGCACCACCTGATGCAGCTGGTGTTAGAAGCACCATCTGACGCAGCTGGTGTTAGAAGCACCACCTGACGCAGCTGGTGTCAGAAGCACCACCTGACGCAGCTGGTGTTAGAAGCACCACCTGACGCAGCTGGTGTCAGAAGCACCACCTGACGCAGCTGGTGTTAGAAGCACCACCTGACGCAGCTGGTGTTAGAAGCACCACCTGACGCAGCTGGTGTTAGAAGCACCACCTGACGCAGCTGGTGTCAGAAGCACCACCTGACGCAGCTGGTGTTAGAAGCACCACCTGACGCAGCTGGAATTAGAAGCACCACCTGACGCAGCTGGTGTTAGAAGCACCACCTGACGCAGCTGGTGTCAGAAGCACCACCTGACGCAGCTGGTGTTAGAAGCACCACCTGACGCAGCTGGTGTTAGAAGCACCACCTGACGCAGCTGGTGTCAGAAGCACCACCTGACGCAGCTGGTGTTAGAAGCACCACCTGACGCAGCTGGTGTTAGAAGCACCACCTGACGCAGCTGGAATTAGAAGCACCACCTGACGCAGCTGGTGTTAGAAGCACCACCTGACGCAGCTGGTGTCAGAAGCACCACCTGACGCAGCTGGTGTTAGAAGCACCACCTGACGCAGCTGGTGTTAGAAACACCACCTGACGCAGCTGGTGTTAGAAGCACCACCTGACGCAGCTGGTGTTAGAAGCACCACCTGACGCAGCTGGTGTCAGAAGCACCACCTGACGCAGCTGGTATTAGAAGCACCACCTGACGCAGCTGGTGTTAGAAGCACCACCTGACGCAGCTGGTGTCAGAAGCACCACCTGACGCAGCTGGTGTTAGAAGCACCACCTGACGCAGCTGGTGTTAGAAGCACCACCTGACGCAGCTGGTGTTAGAAGCACCACCTGACGCAGCTGTTGTTAGAAGCACCACCTGACGCAGCTGGTGTTAGAAGCACCATCTGACGCAGCTGGTGTTAGAAGCACCATCTGACGAAGCTGGTGTTAGAAACACCACCTGACGCAGCTGGTGTTAGAAGCACCACCTGACGCAGCTGGCGTTAGAAGCACCACCTGACGCAGCTGGCGTTAGAAGCACCACCTGACGTAGCTGGTGTCAGAAGCACCACCTGACGCAGCTGGTGTTAGAAGCACCACCTGACGCAGCTGGTGTTAGAAGCACCACCTGACGCAACCAATGACAGAGGTCGCCTCCAGCATGGGCCAAATATCGGTACATATTTTCCAAACAGTGAAGTTCAGTAATAATACGACTCATGTAAGCTCTCAACTTCATTCTTCCTGGACAAATAATGTATTGGTTTCTCGCGCTTTGCCTACGCTCCAGGTCCTTAAAATTTTAGTTTAACAAATTTTTGCGAGGCTATGAAGTCCATAAATAAAATCCATATGTGAACTTGGTCCATTACTTATCAGGTGAAGGGCGGTCGTTAGAGCTCACCTGCGCGCGTAAATTGCTATGGAATCTCGCCTCTGTGGACTCCCCCGCTAGGCTGTCAGGTCCTCGGATGGAAAAAGTGTATAATATATTATGGGGTAAAAAATATTGCTAATGAATGCCCTTTACTTCTGGTAAAGTGTTTACAAGTGTTTCAGGTTCCTCCTAGTTACTCAAACATTAATTAAATCATATTTGAAACCCAAGATTTATAGAGAATGATTTTGGTGGAAATTAAGATATGGTTTTATTTGAATTTATCTGAGAGGCTTCACTTTTTCTAGTGGCCTCGACCGAAGACAGGAAGCCGACGGCTTGTCTAAGGTCTCCTTATTTATCCTGAGTATACGAGTATGGTGGTGACGAGGGTGGTTAGAATGATGAATGTCACGTTCATCATCATGAATTAGCATACTTCTCACAGTATATTTCTCCTGAATCAGTATATAACTCCTGACAGTACATATATCTTGACACGGGCTATTCAAGCCCGTGTCACCTCTTAGGTGGCTTAATCTTCCTCAATCATATTATCTTGACTCAGTATATATCTCCTAGCTCAGTAAATTACTTCTACCAAGTAGTTAGAACAGTCGGCTCATGACCGAATGGTACCGTGTTCGATTCCCGGGCAGGAAGAGATATTATGGCAGGTTTCCTTACTCCTAATGCACCTGTTCATCACCCAGCAATACATCTCGGACCCTTAACTTTAGGACTGGTAAAGGTTTATCTTGGTTGACAGTCTATCATTGGAAATAGTTAAGTCCCACCTGCGTCTGGGTACAACTATAAAAATAATAATAATAATAATAATAATAATAATAATAATAATAATAATAATAATAAAAATAATAATAATAATAATAATAATAATAATAATAATAATAATAATAATGTAATAATTATTTATAAAACAGAGGAGGGTGAGTTCTGTAGTCACTTGACCATTAACTATGGCCAGGGTTTGGACCACAACTTGGGATAATGAATGTATTGAGTTTTAGATGTATTGTGTGAGAGGATGAACAATCGAGCAATCGGTGTTCCTGTTGGGAGGGTGCTGTACATATCCCCCTGGTGGGGTGGTCGCCCCTGGTGGGGTGGTCGCCCCTGATGGGGTGGTCGCCCCTGGTGGGGTGGCCACACGCCAGGGGCGTCCCTGAACAATAAACTCACTTTTCGGCGAAATTTATTGTGAAAGGAAAAAAATGACGGAGCATCATTGCAGCAGACGGCCGTCAGATGAAACATCGCGGCACAGGAGCTGGAGCACGTCTATAAATTTGACCAAAGTGGTGTAAAAAAAATAGATCAGCACACACACACACACACACACACACACACACACACACACACACACACACACACACACACACACACACACACACACACACACACACTCACGGTGGGGGCCTGGTACCCTGGTGGATAGCGCGCAGGACCCGTAATTCTGTGGCGCGGGTTCGATTCCCGCACCAGGCAGAAACAAATGGGCAAAGTTTCTTTCGCCCTGAATGCCCCTGTTACCTAGCGGTAAATAGGTACCTAGGAGTTAGTCAGCTGTCACGGGCTGCTTCCTGGTGTGTGTGTGGTGTGAAAAAAAGTAGTTAGTAAACAGTTGATTGACAGTTGAGAGGCGGGCCGAAAGAGCAAAGGTCAACCCCCGCAAACACAACTAGGTGAATACAACTAGGTGAATACACACACACAAACACACACACACACACACACACACACACACACACACACACACACACACACACACACACACACACACACACACACACACACACATATTTCCTCCGGGGAATTGACAGGGTAGACAAGGATAAACAATAAACGTACCGAACAAGGTACGCAAACAAGGGGACACAGGTGGAGACTGAGTACCCAAATGAGCCACAGAGACGTTAGAAAGAATTTTTCAGTGTCAGTAGTTAACAGATGGAATGCATTAGGCAGTGATGTGGTGGAGGCTGACTCCATACACAGTTTCAAATGTAGATATGACAGAGCCCGATAGGCTCAGGAATCTGTACACCTGTTGATTGACGGTTGAGAGGCGGGACCAAAGAGCCAGAGCTCAACCCCCGCAAGCACACCTATGTGAGCATACAGGACGTAGCCAGGATCACAGGGAGCAGCAATAAAATGGATATGGTGGCGCGGAGTGCGGATGTGCGCGTCTCACCAGCATATTGAAAGATAAATCAGGTCTGGACTTCATAAGACTCGAGCAAGCTGTGGAGCCGCTGCCCGGCTCAGCACACTTCTCCTCAACACAAGTGTCAAGTGTCAGTACTCACCAACATGCACCGTCCAACTTCACAGCTCGGACCCGCATTTACACTTGTCGATTGGTCAATGTTAATTGATCACAATTGTGTATGTGGCCGTTCTTGATGTCTGTGGCTCATCAGTTTCTGACGACCAGGTCGGGTATGGTGTAGTCGACCAGGTCGGGTATGGTGTGGTCGACCAGGTCGGGTATGGTGTGGTCGACCAGGCTGAGTATGGTGTGGTCGACCAGGCTGAGTAGTATGGTGTGGTCGACCAGGCTGAGTATGGTGTGGTCGACCAGGCTGAGTAGTATGGTGTGGTCGACCAGGCTGAGTATGGTGTGGTCGACCAGGTCGGGTATGGTGTGGTCGACCAGGATGGGTATGGTGTGGTCGACCAGGTCGGGTATGGTGTGGTCGACCAGGATGGGTATGGTGTGGTCGACCAGGTCGGGTATGGTGTGGTCGACCAGGCTGAGTATGGTGTGGTCGACCAGGCTGAGTATGGTGTGGTCGACCAGGCTGAGTATGGTGTGGTCGACCAGGTCGGGTATGGTGTGGTCGACCAGGATGGGTATGGTGTGGTCGACCAGGTCGGGTATGGTGTGGTCGACCAGGCTGAGTATGGTGTGGTCGACCAGGTCGGGTATGGTGTGGTCGACCAGGATGGGTATGGTGTGGTCGACCAGGCTGGGAAGTAATAGTTGGCGAGCAATGAATAAGTTGATGATAATGATGATAATCAAACATCAACAATCTGGCCCATCAGCTCACACCTTCACTAACCTCGAAAATGCCCTCAAATGATCAAACTTAAACGACTTGTGACCTCATCAACGACCCAAGATGGTCGGTGGAGCGCTTCCAACTGCCTCATTTGACCTCCCTAACGATCACAGGCCTCGTAATGCTTGTTTCTTATATATAAACTTTTTGATTCCACTAACGAGCCAATCACCTTGTTAAGATCCTGACGG